AAAACAAAAGGGAAGAAAAGAAGATAATGCAGAAACTTTGAGACAGCAGTGAGGCAGATGTATTTGATGAGTGCCTGTCTGCTAGAAGTCAGACAGGAGGCTTTTTCAACTTGTGAAAAATGGTGCTTTGTCAGAACTGCTGCTCTCCAGTGAAGGCCCTGGCCTGGAACAGAGGCAGAGCCTTCCTTTAATTTCTCAGCCTTAAATAAGACACTTTTCTTTGTAGGATAGATTTTAGTTTCGTAACTACATGCTCCATGGTTTGAAGCCAGGATGCTCAGCTGTGTGTATGACTTCTGTCACTGCAGTGTTTGTTTCCAGCTGTAGTTTTTCGTGATCATTAGTTTGTATTTACAGGCTTTGCACTGGTGGGTGTAGAAGAGGTTGTGTGGTTGTGGTTAAAAGGTGATTAGATGTCGTGAAGTGATACAGCACTATCATCCCACATTAATAAATACAAACAAATTAATAAATACAAACATTTTTGATCAAAGATGCTTCTTCTGATAAAACTGATAGAAAAGATTTTACCCATTTTAATTCAATACAGTTAAATATTTATTCTAAATCTCTGTTAAAATTTGTTTATTGTATGTTCCAGCTGTAGGATGAAAAGCAATCTGTTTGGTGCTGACAGATCCCTTGTATCTGAGCTCTCCTCATGTGTAGTATAGCGAGGAGAGAAGAGCAGAGAAGAGGCATTTCTTCCCTCTAGTACTTTTCTTTATCAGCTGCATGGTTTAGATTTCAGTTTGCAGTTCACCTCTTAGCTTCTTTCCGCGGAGTCAGTCATCCAGTGTGTAAATACACAGGATGCTTGTGGTGAGCCTGGTCTGGCTTACCTAGACCTGGGCTCTTTGTTCATGACATCCAGCCCAGGACCTGGTTTTGCTGTTTTGACTTTGAATCCTGCGTAGTCGTTGATCCACCACAGACCCCAGGTCCTTTCCTCCCTTCTTAGCCTGCCTCACTGCTGGAGGGTCAGTGTTCTGTCGGTGGTGGGATGGTGTATATAGGTTGTTCAGCTGTATTTAGCAGTGTTATAGGCAGTGTTTTCTGAAGTGCCAGGTGAATTTCCATCCTGTTTGTTTAGCTGACAGCGTAACCAGGCTGGTAAATGTGAGCTCATTTGCCTGTTGACTGCAGTAGTGTTGTTGTGTTACGGGCTGTATTTAAGCAACCATAAAAATTCTTCTCTGTGTTTGCTGACAGAGTGGTCAGGGCTTTGCTTTATTTACCACAAACGACAGTATATTCACCAGTGAAGTATCTCTTCCTTTCCAAACACTGTGCTTGCCAGTGACTCACCATTGTTGCATCTGGAATGACTAGTAGGGTTTCCTGTAACACTGACAGTAGCAGTGAGTAATCCAGGAAGTTCCTCTGTCCGTCACACCTGCCTGTCCCAGTCCTAATGAGCCATTTCTGCAGCCTGCAGCTCCACCTGGGTACTGCTCTGTCATCTGAAGATGGGTCAGGTTGGCTGTAATGAGATGTGGTGAGGGAACTTTCTGTAGTTAGGAGCTGAAGGACTGTTTTGAATGAAGACAGCTTATTCAAAATGTGGAAACACTGAAAGCTCTCTTCTCTTATAGAATCATAGACTGGTTTGGGTTGGAAGGGACCTTAAAGCTCATCCAGTCCCAACCCCCCTGCCAGCAGCAGGGACACCTTCCACTAGACCAGGTTGCTCAAAGCCTCATCCAGCCTGGCCTTCAACACTTCCAGGGAGGAGCAGCCACAGCTTCTCTGGCCAACCTGGGACACTGTCTCACCACCCTCACACCAAAGAATTTCTTCCTCACATCTCATGTAAAAGTATCCTCTTTCAGTTTAAACCCATTTCCCCTTGTTCTGTCATTAACTGCCCTTATGAAAAGTCCCTCCCCAGCCTTCCTGGAGCTCCTTCAGGTACTGGGAGGCCACTAGAAGGTCTCCCTGGAGCCTTCTCTTCTCCAGGCTGAACAGCCCCAACTCTCTCAGCCTGTCCTCACAGCAGAGCTGCTCCAGGTCACTCGTTTGCTGGTGATGCATGTGGAGACACAGACTTTGGGCAACTCTGAGAGTACCACGTGTCCAGGAGACAGAGGAAGCTGTGTTGTGACACCTCTGTGCTGCAACATCTGGTGGTAACACGGCATCTGGAGCAGGCAAACAAGCACACTCTGCCCTGGGAAAGCCTCGGAACGCGTGTGTAACCAGCTGTACCATGAGTAACAGGTATTGTAGGACTAACCACGTGGATCTCTGGAGCACTCGTCACAGAACACACAGCTCACGTCCTGTGCTCCATCCAGACAGACAGACACTTGCAATGTGCTGCATTTTTCACCAGCAGCATCACTAATTGTGCATCGGTGCCACCCCTGATGCTCAGCGAGCACATGCTGTGCCCGTAACACAGTGTGAACACCTCAAAGCCACACAAGATCCTGGAGGAGTCACAGCTCAGCCTGCATTTCCTTCTCTATCTACGAGTAAAAGGTGGTTGTGGAATAATGATCGGTCCATAAGGATAGGCCAGCAGGTCAAGGGAGGGGATTCTCCCCCTCTACTCCGCTCTTGTAAGGCCCCACCTGGAATAGTGCGTCCAGTTCTGGAGCCCCCATCACAAGAGAGACCTGGAGCAGTTCAAATGAGTCCAGAGGAGGCCACGAGGATGATGCGAGGGCTGGAGCAGCTCTGCTGTGAGGACAGGCTGAGAGAGTTGGGGCTGTTCAGCCTGGAGAAGAGAAGGCTCCGGGGAGACCTTCTAGTGGCCTCCCAGTACCTGAAGGGGCTCCAGGAAGGTGGGGAGGGACTTTTCATAAGGGCAGTTAATGACAGAACAAGGGGAAATGGGTTTAAGCTGAAAGAGGGGAGGTTTAGATGAGATATTAGGAAGAAGTTCTTCACTGTGAGGGTGGTGAGACAGTGTCCCAGGTTGGCCAGAGAAGCTGTGGCTGGTCCTCCCTTGGAGGGGTGG